CAGAGCAAATCAGCAGCTGTATGGTTATTCTCCACCTCCCCCGATTCTGAGTGCTGTGTTCCATACATCGCTGTCCCTTCAAACCCCGTGGGCACATTCTCCATTACCGCTGTTGTTTTTGGTGCTTGCACGTGACAACCTGAGAAAATCCACTAAATGGTAGGAAGTATTTAAGGCCTAAATGCTTGTGTTTTGTCATGTAGGTCTTGGTTATCCTGAAAGTCTGTCTTCCTCCTTCAAGAGAGTGCTGACCCTCAGACAGCCAGCTCCAATAGATCAGTCAGTGTATGCCAGAGCGCAGACCTGCATCCTATCACTTTGGCCATTAGCACAATGCAGTAGTGGCAAAGTGAAAAGGAGATGAAACACCTGGTGCCTATACCAGTCCATCACCCTTATTGCCTGTAACCCACCCAAACAGATAACAGACAATGAATACCATGTCCCTTGTATGCTTACCTGAAATGAACCTAAATCTTATATGAATCTACCAGTTCTGAGGAAGGGTCACCAGACTCGAAACGTTAATTCTGTTTTTTCCTTCACAGATGCTGCCAGACCTGCTGAGCTTTTCCAGCAACTTTGTTTTTGTTATATGAATCAGCGACTGCCTTTGCCTTTCGTATCATTTGAGAATACAACACTTGCAGATTCCCAAGTCTCTGACCTGCTTTGCAGCCCTTGAATTTAAATGGCTCATAATTGACAGAGTTAATCAATCCCTGACAAGCAGTTGAACATTAGGCCATTATAACTAATACGACAATGCCCTTCTTTCAAAAAGTCATGTTTTGACATCAGTCCTGAAAAACTGCTCAAACATTTCTGATTCACAGATCTGAATAACGAAAGCTAATTGGACAATATGCTCAACTTGAAAGTTATTAGACTGATGTTACCTAAGGAGGGGTCCGAGCATCTACAATAATTATTTACACTGAACTGTTCAAGAACCCATCTATGTTGGCACATGGCACATAGAATAGTCAGACAAAGTAAGAAAGATTAAGAAACAAGGATATCTCTGCAATATCCAATTCTGTAGAACTCACCCATTTAACATTACAATAGGTGAATATGCTCAGTAGCTTCAGCTACCAATCCTGGTCAAGATCAGAAAACATAGATGGCATATACAATGTTAAGGAAATCAGATGTGAGACTAAGTCCTAACTGTCAGGGATAATGGAAATGAGATTTTCTTTCCCACTAACAGGAAGAGGTCTTTTTACTCTGCACACTTCCAAAATACTTTTTCAATATTAAGCTTTTATTTAACTGATGAGAACCATGGGTAACAAATGACAGAACTTTAAATTATACAGAAGGTTTCTCTTTCTTTGGTTTTCAGTTCCTTGCAAATATCCTGTAATAGTTTGGGTGCTTAGGAGTAGGTAGGGTGAGTGATAGAGAAACAAAAACATCTATTGATATATCAATCGTTGACAATCTGGCGGATCCTCTCTCAGCATCACTTATTACAAATTCAAAGTTCTAGTTCAGGATTTCCAAATTTTGTGCTGATTCCTGAAGGCCATATATTGAAAAAAAATCTATAAATTGATTAAAGATGCTGTTTTTTTTTCAAAATCTTTTACGAACGATTTTAACATTCTCCATAAATGGGGCAGCAGCAGTCTGAAAATGGCTTGGGTTACCATTGATCAGTTATTTCAGGTGGGAAGCCACTATCAAGATGGAAATCAGGGTCTTTCTACATAGGATCCCAATAACAATTCTTCTGTAAAAATTAGCAATGTGCAAGCTGCCAATGCTCAACTCATTCGTACAAGTATTAAGAAGCTGAAACAATGATCCTTACAAGAACTGTTGGAGGCCATTCCAAACAAAATAAACTTCCCAATTTTATTTTTATCAGGCTAAAAGATGAAGGAAAGCAACCACATCATTGCTAAACAAATATTCTCAACCACTGCTAACTCCATGCTCACTGTCGCCTAGTTACCATGGCGTATCATAAAAGGCAGGTAATTCCCTGCCCTTCTCAACCAACGTGCTGCCATGGAACAAAGATTTCACACACACATCTGACCAAGATTTCTAGAAAGACCACCCGGAATGCAAATCATCCCCATCAGTTATTATATTTGTAAACCTCTTTATGCCATTTTGTGGAAGCTATGCAGTTTGCAAAAATAATTTACAAATCTTCTTTGTGTCCAAATAGTTTAAAGCATAATCCAAAGACTTGAGATCTAAGGGACAGAAGATTGTGGGATGGATGATGGATGGCTCCCTTCAATGACGTTAACTCTCTTTTTTCCAACTGTTTTAAACATTTAAATAAAAATTAAATCCCACTTGCACCCAGTTGTCCATGCCAACTAGATTATGTTGTGGGCTACATCATGTTGGGGTCAATTGAGTTTTTAACAAGTTCAGTTGAACCTTAATTATTTAGTTACATATGGTGGGCAGGCTGCCAGTTTTGGCACCTGCCCACCCTTGTGTGGTGCTGCTCAGATCAGGGGTCGAAAGAAAGGTAGTGGGCTAGCCACTCTTATCTATTTCACGTGTCCCTTGGTTAAAACACACAAAATCTGGACATATAATATCCAGTTCTAAAGTTTCATACCTTACTATGCTGAGTCAGTTGATCTCAGAATAACAGAAGAACTTGGATTAAAATCATTGGCCCGGTGCTAATAGAAAGAAACTTATAAAGTCAGCTCAGGTTTCCAGTCTTAATTAGTGCCCAATAATTCTGGTCAGGAAATATGCAAGTGCTGTTATCTAGTTAAGATTATGATCAGTTTCAATTGCGATAATTCAACAAGTCAAGAAACATGATGACACAATTTCAAAATTCTCATATGGCAAAATGGAATTTTGGCACTGAGAAAAATGAGTGCTCAGAAAATTGCCCAGGAAATCTACAAAAGAACCTAATCTTGTCATGTAAAATAAATTATTATACTCCAGTGCAATATAAAATATATCAAAGGGTAGTATAATTCCCTCCAAACGTCTGCTCTATTCTAGCAATTTGTAATAGTCCCATTTTTTTTTTGCTGATTTGGTTGCAAGAACAGGGTTTTTCACACTTACCAAAGTTTAATGTATTTGAAATTTTGTCACTGTGTGTTCATCATCAATGCATGGGTTAATGTGCTGTTGAGGTTTTGTTATTATAACAGAAGCATTTGGGCCAAAAATGCCTTTTGACTTAAATGCATTGTTCATGTTATCAAAAATTTCAAAAGCTACATCACGCAAGGCACGAAAGCTTGCTTATACAAAAATGATTAGCATCAAAACACAGTCTGCACCTATAATAATTTGTTAGTTCATATCAAAAATGGCTTTTATGCCATGCAGCTATAACATCAGTTAGCTTAGTGACTTAATAAATAAAACTATTTTCATTAAATGCAATTCTTGAACTTTTCCCTGTTCTTCAATTGTAACACAACTTTTAAAAAAAATTTTACAGCTTTCCAGGGGTTAAATGAGAACCTTATGGGAAACCACATAAAAGTGGTGTCTGTGAACAGCACTAATAATTGCAGGATGTCATTTAACTTGACTTTATATATTTTAATCCATTCCTTAATTGCTGAAGTTTAGCAATGTTTACAATAAAAGCTGGAAACAAACCAGGTTTCTAGATTTGTAATAAAAACTGGCCTTAAGCATTTTGTGTGCACTGCAATAAAACCCATATTTATTGAATTTTATATTTGTACAAGTGTCACTTCCTGTGCTGGATAGAGGTTGTGTTTATTTTGGTGAGTATATGACTGTGGGTGTGTCAAAGAATTATTCTCAAAGAGGTTGGGGTTATCTTTTAATTCGGTATACAAGTGGTAAATTGGCAAAATGACAAAATGACAATCACGTAAAAGTACTGATGGAATTTGGCCCGAGGGCTGGAAGGCACAAAGAAGCAAATAAATTTCTCTCCATTTAGGCATATTAGCGATACAATTGTAACCAGAACATCTCTACCAACGGTTTTTCTTTCTACTTCATACAAATCACCATTGGAGTCCCACAGTGGACCTAATGATTCATCCTTGTCTCATTTTAATATATGTTATCCCTTAGAAATATCACCCATGAATCTCAGCCCTACATCAAGTTACATACATGCTACAAACAATCACTAGATATCATCCCCTTTCCAGGATGAATCAAACAACTTTCAAGTTTGGCAATTCTTTTTGTATCTGCTTATTGATGACTAAGTAACAATGACTAAAGGGCAGGTTAGGTAAGGGAGATTAGCCGAATTCTCTTTCAGATAGTTGATAACGACACGAAAAGCAGAATGGACCCCTTCTGTGCTGTAATTATTCCATGATCCTTTAACTACAATCTACGCATGGCAGTTAAACTTAAATTTTCAAACTTATTTAGTGAATGTCCAACCAAAACTATTAGCTGATGTATCTCTTTCAATCCATTCTGAAACAAGTGTCTAAAACAAATGACACTAAGATTTCAATATACTTTTTAGGAAAGCTCAAAATGCTTCAATTAAATTCAGCAGAATCGGAATCCCTACAGTAGAGATACAGGCCATTCAGTTCATCAAGTCTGTACTAACCCTCCAAGGAACACTCACCCAGACACACCTATCCCAGTAATCCTGTATTTACCATGGCTAATCCACCTAGCCTTCACATCCGTGAATGCTACAGTTCACATCTGTGCAATTTAGCATGGCCAATCCACCTAACCTGCACAGATGTGAACTGTAGCAGGAAACAGGTGCACCTGGAGGAAACCCACACACAGACAAAATGTGCAAACACCACACAGACAGACAGTCAGCCGAAGCTGGAATCGAACCCAGGTCCATGGCGCTGTGAGACATCAGTGCTAACCACTGTGCCACTCTATCTTCCATTGGTTATTTTAATCTGAAAATTATACGGTGTAAAAAGGTTTATTAAAGCATGTTAATCTTACATAATACTCAAATAATGTAATATATGCATGAGTGATGTTTCAAAGGTTACAGCAAAATCCACTACCTTCTCTGATAAAGCTTCTTCTAGCGTTGCCAAAGCTGTATCTGTATTGCTAGAGTCTGTTTGTAATGACTTAACTCGGTCTTTCAAATTGTTAAGTTGTTTATCTTTGTCTTTAAGTTGTTCTTGAAGATTTTCAATCTGTAGGAGTAAACAAACAATGTTTCAGTATCAATGTGCATTTTGTCTTCTCAGTTCACACTGCATATAAAACATCTGCATCAAAAATAACAAGATTATTTTTGAAGAAGAGTCCTGACCCAAAACATCAACTTTCCTGCTCCTGATGCTGCCTGGCCTGCTGTGTTCCTCCAGCTCCACACTGTGTTGTTTCTGACTCCAGTATCTGTAGTTTGTGCTATCTCTAACCCCGAAGATTATTTCCTGCTATTTGTTACACTTCTCGAAGCAAGGTTGAAATTACTCCATCACACTCCTCAACTGTATCTTTGGAGACGATGAACAGTGTTGAGCAGTTAGAAAGTGAATCACTTCCTGCTTAATACCCAGTCTTTGGTTTGCTTTTGCAGCTACCATTTTGATGTGGTTTGTCCAGTTAATTATCTAGGCAATTGTGACCCTTCCAGAGTGTCTGACGATGCAGGATTTCACAAATGACAGTGCCATTGCATATTCAGGGAAGTTGGTAGGGCTGGTCATTGCAAAATGTAAATATTCATTGTCACCCATGAACCAAAGCAGCCTTTCTCTTAAACAAAAATCTTGCTACACTCAAATGGTGATTACTTTATTAACTGAGAAACTGAAAATGGCACTCAACACAATCATCAGTGAGCAGCCCTAATCTAATCTTATTATGGAGAAAGGGTCATTGATGAAGCAGCTGAAAATGGTTTAATTTTAGACATTGTCCTGGGAAAATTCTGCACCAATGTCCTGAAGCTGAAGTGCTCGGTATCCAGTAACTACAACTACCTTATTCTGGGCTTTGTGTGACTCTAGATGAAGAAGATATTGGGAAAAGAGACAGACACTGGGAGACAGAAAGAGACTCACACAGAAAAAGGTGATCAGGAGAGATACGAGTAACAGAGAGATAAAGAGGAAGAGGGAGGGCAAATGAGAAGGGAGTGTGAATACGAGAGGGGGTAGGGAGACAGGGAAAGAGATTAGTAAGAGCAAAATAGAGAGGAAGGGGGAGGGAGGCAGGACAAATTTAATAGGTAGAAAGGGCAAATTAAAGTGGGACGAAGACAAGCAGGAAAGCTAGTTGTGAAGAGGACATAAGGAACTGAAAAGGAATACAGAGATAGTAGGACCTGCAGATGCTGGAGAATCTGAGATAACAAGGTGTAGAGCTGGATGAACACAGCAGGCCAAGAAGCATCAGAGGAGCAGGAAGGCTGACATTTCGGGCCTAGACCCTTCTTCAGAAAATACAGATGGGTTCAGTGAGTGAGCAAAAGTTTAACAAATGAAGTACAAGGTGGGAAAGTGTAACTTGACCATTTTGGCAGAAAGAATAAAAACAAAACGCATTATCTAAATGGTCAGAGGTTGCCGAGCTCAGAAATGCAGAGAGATCTGGGTATTGTAGTGCAAGAATTGTAGAACATTATTAGCATGCAGGTACAGCAAGTAATCAGGAAAGCAAACAGAATGTTATTTTATTATGAGGGAATTGAATGCAGGAGTAGTGAGATTATGCTTCAGTTAAACAGGGCATTGGAGACAGTACTTCATCTGGAGTACCGTGTACAGAACCATCTTTATGAAAGGCTGTGAATGTATTGGAAGCAGCTGAGATTAATACCTAGTCTAATGCCTGGAATGAGGCATTATGCAGATGGCCTTACGCAGAAACACACGAGACAGGTTAGACAGGTCACAGAGGTGACTTCATTTAAATATATGAAGTTCTGAGATAAACTGACCAGGTGGATGTCAAAAGGATGTTTCCTCATCTGGAAGAATCTAGAACAAAAGGTTACGGTATGGTTTAAAAATAAGAATTTGCCCATTTAAGACAGAGACAAGGAAACATTTTCTTTTTCTCAGAGGGGTGAATATCTTTGGAATTCCCTTCCTCAATTTCTAAATATTTTAAGGCAGAGATAGACCAGATTCTTGGTTATCAAGGTGATGAAAGATTATCGAGCATATGCAGGAATGTAGAGGTGAGATTATACACAGATCAGCTGTGATCTTATTTAAAGACGGAATAGGCTCCAAGGGCTGTGGCCTACCTATATTCCTTGCTTGCATGTTTAAGTGAGACAGAAGGAGAAAGAAGGTGAATGAAAGTGAGAGGCTGAGGAAGGGCAATTTTGAGTATGTGGCTGAAAGGGAATGAGGATGAAAAGGTAGACAGAAAGATGGAGACAGAAAGAGATCAGAGGGCAGAGAGCCAGGCGAGAGAGGAAGAGAAATCCACAAAAGAGTGGAATGCAGTGAGAGGTACAGAAAGAGATGGAAGAACAAGAGGGGAGAATGGGATAGGCAGAGCGACAGAGAGAGAGAGAGAGAGCGCAAGAGCGAGCATGCGCATGGGTGGGTGAGAGAAAGACAGCAAGAGTATGAGACAAAGAAAGACAAAACGTTCTGAGAGATACAGACACAGAGAAAATGAGAGGCAAAGAAAGAGAGGGAGAGGGGCAGAGAAAGAAACAGACACAGGCACAAAAAGGGAGAGATAGCCATCAGAGAGACAGGCAAAGAGAGAGAGAGGTACAGAAAGAAAGTGAGGGAGAGGTGGGCAAGGAGCACAAGGCAGAGGTGGGAAGGGAGCGAGATAGGTGGGGAGGTGGTGGAGGAGGAGGGTGGGAGAGACAAATAAACAGAGAGAACAGTAAGAGTAGAGCATTAAGCCTTTTAGAACACCTGAATGCCCTACAGGACTTGATGGTTGATGTAGTACTTTGAAATGTAGTCATGTTGTACTCTAATTAAGGCAGCAGCCTGTTTGTACACTGTAAATTCCCATAAACTGCCATATATCAATGGCTAGGTAATTTCTGTTTAGTAATAATTTGGAAGCAGAAACATCAGCCAGGATACAAAGGTCATTCAGACCACACCATTGAGTCCGCGCTGCTATTCAATGAGATCAAGGCTGATCTGGTAGTCCTCGACTCCAATTCCTACATTCTCCCCCAGAATCTCTGATTCCCTTCTGAAGGGTCACTCAACACAAAACATTAACTCTGATTTCTCTCCACAGATACTGACTTTTTCAGCAATTTGTTTTTGATCCTCATCAAAAATCTCTGTTTCAGCTTTGAAAATATTTAACAAACGAGGGTCCACAGCCGCCCATGGCATAGAATTCCACAGATTAACTACCCTCAGGAGAAATTCTTCCTCTTCTGTGTTTATGTGCGACCCCTTATTCTGAGATTATACTCTCTAGTCCTAGGCTGTCCCACCAGGGGAAACAATTTTTCAGCATCTACCCTATAAAGTCCTCCAAAATCTTTGTGTTTTGATAAGGTTGCCTCTAATTCATCTAAACGCCAGTGATTACAGCTCCAACCTACTCAACCTCGTCTCACGTGATGGTCCCTCAGACCCCAGGATCACCTGAGTAAACCTTCTCCAGACTGCCTCCAATGTCAGTATATCTTACCTTACATAAGAGACCCAAAACTGTTCACAGTATTCCCAAGATCTGATAAGTGCCTTGCGCAGTTTTACTAAGGCCTCCCTCTTTTTATACTCTGTTCCCTTTGAAATAAAGGCCAGTATTCTGTTTAGCTAACTTTTATACTAGTTTTTTGTAATATATGCATGAGGACTCCCAAATACCTGTGCGTAGCTTTCTGCAATAATAATATTCAGCTCCTCTATTCTTCCTGTCCAAGTGCATAAACTTTCATTTTCTCACATTATATTCCATTGCTAATGTTTTGCCCACTTCCTTAACATGTTTATATCTCTTTGTTGACTGATGGTCCTCACCACTTTCCTTCCTATCTATGTTTGGGTCATCCACAAATCGGCTATCGTACATTCACCTTCCTCAGCTAAGTCAATTATAAATACTGTAAATAATTATGGCCCACAGCACAGGTCCTTGTGGCACTCTACTAGGTACAGGTTGCCATCCTGAAATTGCCCCCTTATCTCAACTCTCTGGCTTACACTAGTTAGTCAAACCTCTAACGTGCTAACATGCTCTCTTCAAAACCATGAGCTCTAGTTGAGTAGCCTAATGTGCAAGTACCTTATCAAATGACTTCTGAAAATCCAAATATATTGCAGGCACTCTTCTCCTTTATCTATCCTACTATTTAGCTCCTCAAAGAACCCTAATAAATTATGCAAAGCATGATTTCATTCTGACTCCGCTTGGTCACATTAAGTAATTCTAAATGCGCTGCTATTACATCCTTTCAGTAGATTCTAACGTTTCCCCAATAACAGGCATTAAGTTAACTGGCCTATAGTTACCTGTTTTTTGTCTCCTTCCTCTTTGAAACAAATACATTAGTAGTTTTCCAATACTCTATGTAATATCAACTTTAAAACTAGCCAGGATTAATAATTAGAATCAATTTTTCTTTCTAAAAATCTTGTGCCATTTTTCTTGACACCTTTCTCCCATAGGGTAACACTTCATGGCATAGCAACACCACTGGAAGAAAGTACATAATTACAGAATGACAAGTTTACACAGGCAATTAATATTATGCATGTGGATATAGAAATGCATCTTAGAAACATAAAAACAAGGCCAAAACATATAAAAGTCAGAATTATGACTGCATGGTCTAGTCCAATTATTTGTTCATTTTAAATCAGCTTCACCAAAAGACTATATTTGTTTTGATTCCTTGTTTGCAAACTGTAAGGGATTGATTGGTATCTATAAAAACATAAATGCCACTTATTTATTAATAAACAACTTACATTTATAAGGCACTTTTAAGATAGTAACAAATCCCACCAATTTTAAATATCCAATGTTTACAATAATATTTCAGGACTAGAACTTCATTGTTTAAGTTAAATGGTTGCATGCAAAATCTCAATATTTTACTAACATAGTTTAAAAGACCACCAGCAATACAGTGGTAGTTGAGGTCTTTGTTTCCCACCATTGCAGCCATAGATTTAAATTACAGCATTCCCAGACATTCAGATCTACTTTTCACATACATATTGCATTTTATTAGTTATAA